GAAGAACTCACCGAGATCGATTGAAACGACGGATTGCGGCCGGAAAAACTTCGCGGCGGAGAAGAACAGAGTAGCGCAGGGGCGGCGGTGCTTGGCTTGGTGCGGCGAGGTAAAACTCGACGCAGAGCTTCGGTTAGGGCCTAATACGCTAGAACATGGTAGAATATAGGTGTTCTAAGGGTTATTTAGGGCGGAAGATGGATGGAGAGGGGTGGAGTCGATCGCGCACAAGGTGTTCGACCGACAGGCGAGGGTGGTTGATGAGATGGATTGGTGAAGCAGAGCTTCGGGGTTGTGGGGCTATGGTTGTTGATGATCGATGATGGACAAGGAAGGGATTGGGGTCCTATTTATAGGGCTAGGAGGAGCGGATGAGCTCGGGCACCGTCATCGCCATGGAGGAGCTCGAGATTTGGATGAGGCAAAGGTGGCAGAGGCTGAGAGAGGGCGGGCAAGATCTATTTGAGTGGCGGGAGGCCACGTTCGAATACTTACCGGCGAAGGATTGACTTGACCGCGGTTGGAATCGGCTGGCGACGTGTTGGCGCCAATCTGGGCGCGACGCGCGGCGGCGGCGAGGGTGAAAACGGCCGGCTAGGGGGTGAATGGTTTGAATTGTGAGAGGGGATACCACCGTCTATCTTCAATCCAACCGTGCGGCAAGAATTGGCGCGATTCACCCCGGGTAGAAGCAAAATCACATTCGGCGGTGGCTTGGATGGGAGCGCACGGCGTCGAGCGGTGATTTCGTGCGGCGGTCGTCGTCCCGGCTTTGTCGTCGTCGAGATTGGTGCGGCGGCGGTGGGCGGAGGGCGTCGGACGGGTGATGGCGCGCCAAGGCGGTCGGGCATGCGCAAGAGGCCCCGAGGCCGACGCGCAGCGACACGGCGCGCGGCAAAGTTGGATGCCCGGGCGGCGCGCATGAAGGGGAGTAAGAGGCAAAGAAAGCCACGGTTTTGAGTGGGATGTGGTCCCCTAGGACCAAACCTAGACTTTGTGCAAGATTAAGTTGAAGGTGGGCTGCTCTAGTTGGGCTAAGCATTTTATCGAGCAGCTTGTGTGCAATGAACAGGAAAAATCAAAATTTTTGAATATTTCCCTAGAAAAGATTTGAATTCAAACTAGGAGTTTGGAAAGGTTTTACTAGGGTTTAGAGTATAGCAAATCTCCACTAATATTAGAATAAGCTAAAGAAATAATCTATGGTTTGAATTTGAGAGAATTTGCTCAAATTCACTAGGGTTTAGAATAAAGGGAATAAGTTAGAGTAAATTGGTTGGGCTCTAATACTTGAACCAATTTTAAATAAAAATCAAATAGATTTTTGAACCAAACAAATTTAATCAAAAGCCAGCATGATGCAGTCAAATTTTAGTTTAAAATTTGAGGATGTTACAATGTGTTTTCAGCTAGTACAATATAAAACATATATACTATGTATAAATTAATTAAGGAAAAAAATCCATGGTCTACAAGATTCAATAAATTAATTCCTTCAAGGTGAGAGATAACCAACAGGAACACATAAAGGTACGCATCAAAGAATATTATATGTGTCTTTGCACCGAGAGAACTAATACCAGACGACTTTTTTGACATTTAATTTACTCTATTACTATATAGTTGAGTGTACGCAAGCTACCGTTGCAGATGTGTCATCTCATATATCGAAACAGTTCTGGTTTGATTTTATTTTAAGGAAGGGCCAAAGCTTGGTGACTAAACAGTTTAAATTGAATGCGCATTATCTATAGTATGTTTTTCTAATACACTACTGCTACCTTGCGAAAAGGACCAGCCATTCATGTATATGTCCAATGGACCAATGATGCAATTTTCACGTGGTCGATACCAAATTATCATTTGTTTTGTTTATAGCAAACAAATCCCTAGCTTAATTAAATGCTAATCAATCCAGCCCCTCTGTTCTCTGGTTCATTCTACATTTGTCAACTTATTAAAGGTAACAAATAGAAACCAAGAGTACTCTCATGTCACAGGGTTCATTACTCAGCCAGTTTATCACAAATATGCACGTGCATCCTTCAATTGCTTGAAGTCAACCATTTCATTCACTTTGATGTTAAAATAAATGTTAGCTTGAGAAATAACTGGATGGTTGCTTTTATGAAAAATTGAACATTATAGATTGGCAAAATGAAACAAGCTTCAACACTATAATGTTGGACCAAATAATGGCCATAGAAATAGAAAAAAGAACTTTATATCTCTCCCTCCTAAGGAAAAACTCACGGCGATAGGACGGCAGGTTCTGGGGAGACGGGTTGGTGTTCCGCACTACACATGCTCTTATGTGTCTTTCTTAGGGTATATACAATAGGCCTATACAATAAGTGATTGTCAACTAATGTGCTGCATGAGTTATATATTAGTGTTAGTAATATCAATATTAAAATTTAATCATATGTCGAATACAATAATTAAAATTTTCAAATTATAGATGATTAGATTAAAATAATAGTTCACATCAATTATTACTTGCTAATTATTAATTTTAAATTTTTAGAATTGAATAAAATACTGAATTCGAAATCCAACCTAATGTATCTTCTATTGTTTTATGTTTTATTTAAATATTTTTGAATTAATTAGTGTTTAATTGTATTTGTGTTAAAGTTTAAATTTAGTATGCTTCATAACTTAGGTCATGTTCATAGCAAATTTATTTATTTTTGAATGAATTGCAATCTACGTCATGTTTTATTATCTAAGTTTCACTTTGGACCATATTTTATTTAATTTTTTCACTTTGGACTACGCAAATTTGCATTTGTTGTAGACCATTATAACTCTCTTTTTTAGCCACATTAGCCTCTCCTCCAACAAAGGGTGGCATACACGCAAGTGGGGAAGATCCCTAATGTGTGGGCACCGATGTGCATGAAGTAATTGATGTGCTCGAGCAGAGAGTTGGGATGTTCCAAAGTGCAACATAAGCAAAATAACCAAGTTAAGTGGAAGAGTGAATTGTGCTTTAGGCTAACCTTTTATTATCAAGGTTTCACTTTAGACTACCTTTTGACTATATTTTTCTTTTTCACTTAGGACTAGTTAACTTTACTCTTTTTTTTTTGCACTTTGGATCAACCCCAAGTATTTTCTCCAGCTATGACTAACCGCTCCTCCAACAAAGATATATCTTGCGTATGGATGAGGGAGTTTATCGGTGAGTTGTAGTCAATGTGCTCAAGGTTTTTTATGTACTGAAGAAAATGGTCTGGGGTGATGCTGTAGGGACTTCCCCTGCAGTGGTATACTTGAAAAAAAAAGAAGGTTTGGGGGTGGTTTAAATTGCAACAAAGACAATTATTTAGTCCAAAGTAAAAGGATAAGATAAAGGGTGATCTAAAAGTGATACTTTGATAATAAAAAATAACTCAAAGCACAATTTATTCAATTGAAAATATTAGCTAAATGGTGGTCCAAAGTAAAATTTATAAAATGGAGCCCAAAAATACAATCCGCTCTTATTAAATAAAGTTGTACTACGTTTAGACTTTATATGATATATAATTAGTCTTTTATATGTTATAATAATTACATAATTAATAATTATTATTTTGTAATAGATAGAAAGTCTGGTTTTATCTAATATGTTAAGTAAATTTGAAGAGTCCACAATAGTTTTATGTTTAAATTGACACATTCTAAATACAATCTGCGGTACAACATAATTGTGCACTCGATCTAATCAACATCTATATTTTTCTTTAACATAGGAGGTCCATCAAAGTACCCAGTTAGTATAGAAGATTGCTAAATTGATAGATATACACACAGATAGATAGATAGATAGATAGATAGATATTCCCTCCATTTTATATTATAAATTGTTTTGACTTTTTTCTAGTCAAACTTCTTTTAAGTTTCCCCGCAAAAAGAAAAAACGCTTTAAGTTTGATCAAGTTTATAGAAAAAAATATAGTAATATTTTCAACACAAAATAAACATATTATCAAAATATATTCAATAAAACTAATTTGGTATTTTAGATGTTACTATTTTTTTTATAAATTTAGTCAAACTTAAACAATATTGACTAAAAAATCAAAACGACTTATATGTAAAGAGTATATATTATCTTTATTAGCACCACGACATGCCTCTCATGATATAGAGGATATATAGAAAAAGAAAAAAAAACAACCTGTCTTCTCTCAATGGAGATAACCATGGTGCGAAAAAAACAAGACTCAATAGTCTTGTCGAACTAATAATCCTTTGTATTTGTATATGGGCCTAGTCAATCTGAATTAATTCATACTAGTAGAAAACTCTTTCTATGCTGTTCCGTCTGTCTCGTGCCTTCCGAAGAGTTTTCTATGCCGTCTTTATGTCAGACGATGATGAGTTGATAACGTGAAAGCCTCTAAACAAAAGCCCTTAATTACGCGTGCAGCTGACTGATGTCACAACAATCCGAGAATTATTCTCAAACCTACTTCCTCCCTTTGAACACGGTACAGCGAATACTCTTCTTCGAAATGTCTCAAATTTGTCTCCTTTTCTAACCAAACCAGCATATAAAAGATAAAACTACAAAATAATCACACGGGATTTATCGTTAACAAGTAGCCATCACGAGGGATAATCCTCCCAGCTTGTGGCTAAGAAAAAACACCCGACCAACCAGTTTAATTTAGTTCAGAATTCTGACCGAATTTTGACGAGACCACGGCCGGACACGCACGTGCACATGGAATTCACGAGGATTAGATCGAATTTACATCTTTCCGGCGTGGGAGTGGATGTGCGGCAAAGCGAGAAACCGTCAAATTGAAATGACCAAAGCGGTCACGTCTCGAATTCTAAACGAAATTCAACCGAGTTTATTCTCGTTTTTGACGCATGTGTTGCTTGCCCTCGGCATCTTGGCGGCTCTGTCAGAGATTGAATTCGGCAGTTCGTTGGATATTTTGGTCAGCTTTTGACATTTTCAGGTGCTGCTCCCTCTATATATTCAGATAGAACTCGCTGCAGGGATATGCTTAGTTATTGGCTTATTGCAGAAAGGAGCAAAAACTAGGGAGTGGGAGAAAGAAAGGGTTTTGGATTCTGTCTGAATTCAGAGATTGATCGAGATGAACACTTTTACACTTTTCAGGGATGAGGTGCAGAAAGCTTCAGAGAAGGTATATATATGCAGTAATTATTTCATTGATTCAGAGATGATTTTTTCTATGCTTCAGAGCTTCAGAAATTAAGATGATATAATTCTTTTGTTGGGACTACATGTTTTACTGCAAATCGGTTGCTACTAGGGAGATTAACATGTCCAGTGACTCTGTGACACACCTCTGCACTTCTTGTGCAAATTCCATTTTCAACATGTTGCCGGAAAGGCATATATCGTACACTTTTACTGTCTATGTATTGTCTGAAGATCAAACTCCAACAACGAGTTTTGAAGGATAAAAGATAATGAGCTATTACTGTTCGCCATATTTTCACAGGATATGCCCCCTATAGTTTCAGATTAATTTGACCAATAATTATTAGAAGAACATCTTTTTGTGAAATTTTGTTTATGCTCTTACATGTGTATTTTACATTTAATTGGTAGCATGCATGAATGTTTGAATGTTACCTTGACAAAGATCTCTGTAATCAATATATACCAGAAACTAATGAACAAACTATTCTGAAAAGCATCAGTTACATACTTACATTGATTTGGTGGATTTAAGACCGAGAGAACGCCCATATGCATGCATGATATGATGATAATTATGTCAACCTATTACAGTTACATGCTGTTTAGTAGCTTTAAACATCTCTGGAGGTTAATCGATTGCTGATTTTGCTGTAGGTTCATCGGCATCACGCGAACGACGACGAGGCCGGGTTATTCCTGTCACTTGGGCTTAGCCTCGGATCGTCTCCTGATGCGTGCCAGTGCCACGCCAGCAAGAAAGACGAAGCGGACGCCGGCAACGGCGGCGGCGACGGGTACCTCGCCCTCGCGCTGCGTTGCGCCCCCGCCGCCGGCGAGCCAATGGTGCATCCCAAGAGGCAGAGGGCCACCACCAACAGCAGCAGTAGCAGCAGCATCTGCGGCGAATACGGGGGCGGCGCCGCCGCCGCCGCCGTGCCGGCGGGCCACGACGACGACGACCGGTCTTGCATGATCACGGCTGCGTCGACGGCGAATCGGCCTGGCCGGGTCGTACTCAGAACACGATGCAGCGCACCCACGGTACGCACGTAGCACACGCATATAGATAGTGACCAATTAATATATTTCATATTATAAGTTTTCTCAGTCAAAGTTTTTCTGTTTGAACAAATTAAATTTATAGAGAAAATTAGTAAAATTTACAACACCAAGTTAGTTTCATTAAATTTAACATTGCATATATTTTGATGATATTCTTATTTTGTATTGAAAATGTTAATATATTTTTCTATAAACTTAGTCAAACTTAAAGAACTTTGACTAAGAAAAAAATCAAACGACTTATAATATAAAATGAAAGAAGTATTGTATAAGTTGAGACATATATGCACGCTTCATTATTGTATATTCCCTCTTTTTTTTAAAAAAAGAAATACATACGTCACCATTAACTTGAGACATAATATACAGCCTTATGTAAAAAAAATTATGCAAATACTCCCTCCATCCCAAAATGTTTGACGCCGTTGACTTTTTTAAAAATGTTTGACCGTTCGTCTTATTCAAAAATTTTAAGTAATTATTATTTTTTTCCTATCATTTGATTTATTCTTAAATATATTTTTATGTATACATATAGTTTTACACATTTCATAAAAGTTTTTGAATAAGACGAACGGTCAAATATGTTTAAAAAAGTCAACGGCGTCAGACATTTAGAGAAGGAGGGAGTACAATGGTATAGATGAGCTGATTTATTTTTGAATTTTATCTCACAGGTGAAGGACGGTTGTCAATGGCGCAAGTACGGGCAGAAGACGGCGAAGGGCAACCCGTGGCCGCGGGGCTACTACCGGTGCACCGGCGCGCCGGGGTGCCCCGTGAAGAAGCAGGTGCAGCGCTGCAACCACGACACCTCCGTCCTCGTCACCACCTACGATGGCGTCCACAACCACCCCATCACGCCCTACGCCGCCGCGCTCCCTCCGTCGTCGTCGTCCTCCTCATCGGCGGCGGTAGCCATGCTCGCCTCCTCCTCGTCGTCTTCGACGTGGTCGGAGCTTCAGCGCGCGATGCCGGCGGCGCAGTCGTCATGGAGCCAGAGAAACTACCCTATTCAGGCAGATGTCGTGGCGAAGGCGATCTGGGACCCCAAGTTCCAGGCGACGGTGGCGGCCGCCGTCGCGAGCTACGTCCGTGACCGTGAGCAGAGCGCGCGCGTTGCCGGTGGGAAGGGTGCCGGAGAGCTCTTCAACTTGGCTCCTCCATGCTGACGAGTGACAAACACCCTGTACTAGCATCCATAAATATACAAATTATCTACCACTAATGCACAGGTGGTAAACAACAAAAAAATTTTTAGGGCTGGTTTGGTTCGTGGGTTAAATTTGGCTTACCAATATTTGACAATTTCAATAGTGTTTAGTGTCTATTTGGTTTGAAACCAAATTTTGGCATGCCTAAGAAAATATGTCATTTCAATAGTTAACTTAGACTATTTTACCTTTAATCCAAACACAACTTTACCTTCCCAAAATTAGTCATGTCAAAACTTACCAAAATTTGGCATTTTAAAAATTGGTAAGACCAATTTAGGTCACAAATCATACCAGTCCTTAGTTTTGATCCAAATTCCAATTGCTGACATTGACATACAAGAATAACGACATTCCATTTGTTTGTTTGTTTTTTTAAGTCTTAGACTCGAATCCAGATGAGCAGATTGGCTCAACTTCTTATGTAAATTCAATTTATTATTTGTAACTAGGTTAAACAAATTATGTTGAATTGGTTAAATTTGTTAAGTTAAATTTGCAAACTTTAGCCTTTCATCATTTTTTTTCTGAAGCTCTGATGTATTTTACACTGCAAAGCGGTTGACCTACTTTTATGTAGTGATGTAAGTGGCCTATCTCACTACCCGCATAAAAACACGTTTACTCGTTCATTTCTCACACGTTTACCCTTGAACCCCCGGGATCGGTGGCGGCGAGGGCGGGGGGAGGAGGGGAGAGGAAGGCGGTGGCTTGGAGGTGGAGTGCAATAGTGGCACGCGAGGTCGTCACCTCGCCAAGGTCGCCGAGGGCACCGTCTCGCCGAGGTCGCCGCCCGCTGCCTGCCTGGCTCGCCCGCGGGAAGAGAAGATGAAGAGAGGGGAGAGGAAAGAAGAGAGGGAGAGAGAAGAAAAGGAGTGAGGATGAGAAAGAAGAGAGAGGGAAGAAGGGAGGTGAGGCTGACATGTGGGACCCGTGGGGGCCCCACTATTTTTAATTATTTTTTGTGTGTAGCTAACATGTGGGGCCTGGCTTTTATTATTTTTTGGGATAAAATTGCCACGTAAGCGCCACGTCAAATGCCACATGAGACGAAGATCAAGTCAAACCAGCCACGTCAGCCAAAACCGCCGAGGGACCTCGTTTGTACCAGTTTTGACCGTTCAGGGACCGATGATATCTAGTTTTTGGTTTAAGGATGAAAATCAGATTTGGTGTAAAGTTAAGGGAACTCCAATAAATATATTCCACTTTTATATGTGTCCTGGTATATGTGGCGGACTATTTCAACCGTGGGCCATATTATGTAGGCGGCCTAGTAAAAAAGAATAAAATTATATACTCTCTCTGTTTTTTAATAGATGACGCCTTTGATTTTTAAATGTACGTTTGATCATCATCTTATTCAAAAAATTTTATGTAAATGTATAGATATAAATCATGCTTAAAATACTTTGAGTGATAAAACAACTCACAACAAAATAAATTATAATTACGTAAATTTTTTGAATAAGACGAATGGTCAAACGTGTAATAAAAAGTTAACGGCGTCATCTATTAAAAAACGGAGATAGTAATATAATATAATATAATAACGAAAACGCCACCCCTCGCGCGACGTGGCCCCACCCAAGCGCATACGTGGCACCGCGCCCCCATGGCCGCGAGGCACCGTAGTACTAGTACTAGCTAGCAATCGAATCCATCTCCCTCCTCCTCCTCCTCCTGGATTGCCGCCGCCGCCCACGGTTTCCAGCAATCGCCGCGGTTCGCGCCGCCGCCGCCGAGCGGAGCAGCGCCCCGATCGATCCCCTTCCCCTCCCGCGAGCAACCGACGCCGGCGGAAGTCCCAGCTGCTTCCGCCACTTCGCCCGGTGAAGCATCCGTACTCACGCTCATCCTCTTCCTCATCTCTCTTTGCGGTCTTTACTACCCACTACGCCTAACCCCCTTTTCTTTTTTCTTCTCGGATTTCGTTAGCCTTAGCTTCTCTTCCAGATCCGCAAGCAATTTTCTTGAATTGGACCTAACCAGAGTAAGAGTAGCAGTTTGTTAGGATTGGATTGGGAGTGTTAGCCCCTGATTAGTTGACAGGAGTAGATTAATAGTGTACCTCCGTTGAACTTGTGATGAACTTTGCTAATATATGCCAAAGTGGCTTGTCGTGATTGGGTTAGTTATGAGTATCTACTGTGCCATGATTAGATTAGATGCGTGTCCAGATTGCTGCCATCTACTGGGATTAATGTTTGAGTGAGTTTTGTTTTTTTTGTTTTTTGTGTAGAAATGGATCGACCTGATGAAACCGTGAAATTCCCAAGCTGTGATGCGTATTTTGACACTATACAGTCCAAGAAGAAGCTGCCCCTCTCTTTGCAAGAATCGCTCACTGCTGCCTTTGCTCAGATTCCTGTCTCGTCTTTTCCTGATGTTCCTAATGGCCGAGGTACACACGTCTGCAAGACAAAATTAACTAACTAGTTGTCCGCGCCATGTATTTTTTTGATCCCTCACATTGCATTGCAGTGATTGAAATTCCAGGAGACACTTCCGTTCTTGACGCTGTGAGAATTCTCTCCAAACACAACATTAGGGCAGCGCCAGTGCTAAATCCGGAATGTGGAGCTCCGGCTGATTGGAAAGGGAGGTACCTTGGCATCATTGATTACTCGGCTATCATCCTCTGGGTTCTAGAAAATGCTGAGATTGCCGCCGTTGCTCTATCAGCTGGGTCAGCAACCGCAGCAGGAGTTGGAATGGGTGCTGTCGGTGCAGTGGGAGTGGCAGCATTGGGTGCAACTGGTCCTGCAGCTGTTGCTGGCTTGACTGCCGCTGCAGTAGGGGCTGCTGTTGCTGGTGGGTTAACAGCAGAAAAGGGTGTGGCAAAGGATGGACTAACTGCTGCTGATCATTTAGGAGAAGATTTCTACAAAGTTCTGCTTCAGCAAGAACCTTTCAAATCAACTACAGTATGCATTTTACTCTATGATGAATTATTATGCATATTTGGATTTTTTTTTCCTTTTTGTTAAATGTCGATCATTTATAGAGTCCAGTCAGTCTCAAATTATTTGGTATATATTTTACCTTGAACCACTGTTCTGCTGTGTGGCTACACCGAAGTTTGGCTATCCTAGTTACAATATATGCCGCAGCTTGGCGTGATTGAAAACTTCCTGTGATTTCTTAGCTGCAACTTATTGTTGCTAATAATAGTTTGGATATCTGTCCTCTTTGCCTCATTTGAATATTGCATGATGATCTTCTGATGTAAATCCTGCTAACCTTCATATTTTTTTCTCATTATTATAGGTTCGATCAATTGTAGAATCCTACCGCTGGTCTCCTTTTGTCCCCATTACACTGGACACTTCAATGCTTACTGTATTACTGTTGCTATCCAAGTACAGGTTAAGGAATGTCCCAGTGATTGAGCCTGATAAGCCAATTATTAAGAACTTCATTACTCAGACTGGTGTTGTTAAAGGACTTCAGCAGTGCAAAGGAAGGGATTGGTTTGATTATATTTCAGCGCTCCCTCTCTCGGACTTGGGACTTCCATTTATGTCACTTGATGAGGTAATTGTGTCTCCCTAATCCAATTCTTTACTAATGAGAAATCATGTCTGCCTACATTATCAAGATAAAAGTTATATCTCAAGCTGAAACATGCTACAATGTAATTTTTTTTCTCTTCACTTTGCAATAAACTGGTAGTTGAACAATTTTGTGCTTTCTTCAGGTTATCACTGTTAACAGTGGTGATCTAATCTTGGAAGCTTTTAAGTGCATGAAGGACAACAAAATTGGTGGTGTGCCTGTAGTAGAAGGTCCCAACAAAAAACTTGTTGGCAGTGTGAGCATAAGGGATATTCGCTTTTTGTTACTTAGGCCTGACTTGTTTTCGAATTTCAGGTATCAAACCATCCGGCTATTTGTTACCGCGTGAGTCATTTTCAAAATTTTGCATTTCCATGTTCCTAATGATAAATCTTCCATACAGGCAACTTACTGTCATGGAGTTCATGAAGACCATAGGTTCCACCGTTTCTGATTCAGGGAACGGCCTGGTGAAGCCACCTCTCACCTGTTCGCCTGACGCTTCTCTTGGCAGCGTGATTGACAGCATTGCATCAAGAATAACCCACCGGATATACGTCGTGGACGGTGACTTCGAGGTTGTTGGTGTCGTGACACTGCGAGACGTGATCTCTTGCTTTATCTATGAGCCACCTGGTTACTGTGACAACTATTTGGCATCAGCCATGGATAAGCTTGAGGAGAAAGGTGCAGGTTCTGTGGACACAAGTTGAGCCTTTTTCTGTAACGCGAACACCAAAATAACAGACTGAATTAGGGAGCAGTAGCAACTCTGATGTATTCAGGTTTAATTTGTGGTGTTGCTGCAGTGAAAGTGTGTAGAACAAGAGTGATGCTGTTGCTCCATGGTCTCTTAATGTAGTTTGCTTGGTGTTACTAAATTACTATATAGGGAGAAGTCAATATACCCTCAGTAAAAGTCCATCTAACACCTCATACTTTGAAGTCGGATAACCAACTCTATCAACTTCATAATACTGTTCGTATAACCGCTAAAGTGCTTTTTATCTAATTATTTTATTCGGTTTTATCTAATTTTACATGTACAATAGATGATTTTAGTGACGCCACACTCCCGCTATTCAAAAATAACTCTATTTTTAGTCTTTGGTGTTCAAACTTCAAACTAAGGTTGAGAGAAAAGACCAAAGTCTCCTTATCAAAAGAAAAAAAAAATAGCATTCCATTCTGATGAATGGATAGATAGATAAAGGACATTGAAGGAATAATCCTTAAAATAGTATTGATGAGTAGGTAGATAGATAAAGGTATTGAAGGAATAAAACTTATAACAGGATAAAAGTGAACTTATTTTTCATAAAGAAATAGTATTACGAGTGTTTTAGAATAAAAGGTATAAAAGAAATACAATTTATAATAGGCTAGAAATGAACTTATTTTAGAATAAACTGTTCATGTTAGAAATGAAGTTATCTTCGGACTGAGGAGTAGATATATTCAAGATATATGTCAAATTCTCCCATGCACTCTTTTTTACACCAATAACTGAGGATCGATACAATCACAATAATCGAGGATTAGTCCTGAAATTTGTCATCTTTGTTAACCAAAACCTTATTTAGTATCTGTATACGGAAATCAGCATGTTCAAAACAACCTTAGAAGTTATATGAACAATATTATGTAGTAAGTTGAAGCGTTTAGGTTAGGGTGTTAGATATGCTTTTATCCAAAGTTATATTTGTGTGACGTTATAACAAAATGAGATTATGTGCCTTCCTCGGATTGAGATCCATTGACTTACTTCCATCCAACTTTGATTTTATCCTCACCTATGCCATTTTTTTTAAGAAAAAGAGAAATAAAGAGGAAAGGAGAGAAAAAGGACAAATAAAAATGTAGTAAATAAAGACACAAAGATATGATAATCATTATGTTTTGTCGTTTCCTTTCTTCTTTCTTATTTTCTATGGTATATACAAGGTAGAATGAATATTTTGATTTTAACTATGTATGCTAGGATGACGTGGCATGTCTGTATAACGGTTTCGGTGGATTAGAGACTATATCAAGTCACATGATAAATTAAGAGGTTTATTTGGAGTTTGGACAATATAAAATCAGGGATTAAACTAACATAAAAAAAATTAAGAGACCGCATTGGCTATTCACTCTTGTTGTGGAAGATAAAACTGTGCAAGTGTAAGTACGTGCGCAACGTGCTAGTGATGCCACCCCGGTTGCTCAGTTCACAGATGTAGGATCTGTTTTGTTCTTTGCCAATATCAAATTTTGGGCAATAGCAAGAAGTAGTGGTTAAGAATATTTTATCCATCAATTGTGGCTCAAGTAATTTATTGATTATTCCAATGATTAATGCTCTAGTGAGGATTTTTTTAGATAATATGGTTCAATTTAACCCTTCATGAAGTATAAATAAACCACTTAAAAAATAAAACACCCAATAAAAAGAGAATCTCTTGTATCATAGAGGAATAAAAAACAAGACATGCACAAACAGAGCCAAAGGGCAAGTGCAACAGCCCATATATTGTACTAATAATAGTGCTTAATATCCATAGCAGGATATGGCACATAAAGTAGTACCATGGATATGTATGCGTATAATGCTATTCTCTGATCTTAGAAGGAAACAAAGTGATAAAAATATATCTCAATCCTCAGCTGGCTGGCCACTGCATGCGCTAATCGTCCTCAGCACATGCAAACCAACACCAAATCTCACTTCACGTGACCAATCAGTATGTATAGACGAGATACAATCCAAATTCATCTCGGTCACCTCCCTTAACACCAGCACAGACCTGGCTCCTGCTTATGCTTTTTTCTAGATTAACACCATAAGGCTTTGACAGCAATGAAAAATACAAGAATCCATATCATGTCTTCATGTTGTCAAGCTATTCACTGTGCCTCCTTGATGTTGTCCATCCAAAACCATCAAAGAACACGATAATCTCATCAGCTGTACCATCTGCACCTTTTACAGCACTTAGCCCAAAATCTGATCAGATACAGAAATATACCGAACTGCATGCTATAGTTCTTTGCTAGTAACTTGCAAATAACCGATACTTCTCTTCTCTGCACATATATATTTATTTAACTGACTCTCGAGCAAACCACTCAACACTTTTCTAAATAATTTGGCTTGCATAAATGGACTAACTAAAAGCCAAATTATGATACAAACAAGGCGCTCAGTTGATTCTTAACACTGTGTATAATGTATGTTTTTTTTCAGAAAAAAAATAAAAAAGAATTTGAAACCTATATAATTACTACCAAAACCTACCACCATAACCACAAATGCACGATCAAAATGTGCCTATAATCTGCTGAAGGGAGGTGTAGGTGCCAACAATGGCGACACACACTCCGATGACCAGTATCCCGATGATCGCCGCCATCTCGAAGCAGCCAACTCCTCCTCGGGACATGTAGATCTTGAGGTAGCTCAAGCACGGGAACAACACAGCAACGGTGACGTTCAGCGAGGACCCGATGAATGATATGAGGTAGCCGAAGAAGGGCACCGTGCATGCCAGCACCACCGTGCTGATAACGACGGCTGTGCTGGTGAGCACCCTAGTCAGCCTGTTGATCTCGGCGTCCGTCGTCGCTGACAGCTTCTCCTCTATCGCTATTGTGACTGGCTGGATCACGAGCGCGTACTTCGCTAGCGGGGTGATTAGTGTCGTCAGGATGGCGATCCTAGTGTACAGCTTCCCCGTGGGTAAGCTCAGTGTCACTTGCGCCTGCACATCCTCACCATAGATCAGATATCCCAACACCGCTGTCACTGCGTAGTTGAGACTGCACAGCACCAAAGAGATCAGCAAAACCTGCACATTAATTGGAGAGGAATAGAACATTATTGGAGTACTGATCCATTATCATCACCATCATGGTTTCATAAACCAAATTATGATAATTGGAACTGATAATTCGTAATCAATTATCATTGGTTGCCAAATCTCTCTAATTGAAAGGTAAAACTTAAAATGCAACATTATTGAGCTATATCATATGAAAATAAGGACCATTGAATGCAACGGTTGATACAATATTTGTCAATATTCATGGATAAATATCAGTAAACGAATGGTGAAAGGTCGAAGATTGTTCAAGAAACTTCCATGAGTTAATGGAGCAATAGTCAATGTCCTACCACTTTTGCATCTTATCCCTAACAATTCTCATACCTATTGGTTGGTCTAAACTTAGTACAAGAATATATACAATACAATATATCTCTATTTTAACTTGGCAAAGAAAAGTTTATGATGCAACACATCTTCCAAATTTAGATACGCTGCATTTTAATTTATCCAAAATTGTATTGGACTACACATAAAATTAGTTAAAAACAAATTTCGTAAACTTTGTATTCAAATGACTAATATAATTCTTTCATTTTAAGTGCTAGACACATCTTCTATCTTTAGGTTTAACATATAAATTAAATCATATTAGGCGGCTCATGATTAGCTTTATATTTAAGCTACATTGCTTTTACATGGGTGGATGAGAGGTAACCAAATATAGTTGAGAGGCGACCCTAATCGCCTCCAGGAACCTATTTATTCCACTGGAGTGATAGGCTGTTTTGTAGCACAGTACACCTCCACGTCACTTCACACGTTAAACTGGTCGAAAGGCTATCCCAACAGTACCCTTAATTTATGTCATTATACAAAAAAAAGTATATCAATACTAAATTGTGTATATTGCACTTGCCATTAATTTTATATTGCACTCGCCATTCCTTATCAGTGTAAATTAACATTACGAAATTGATAACTAGTACAACATTTTTTTAGGGATGGTACAACTTATTTCAATAAATCATTTTAATGTTGATTTCGTCTGATCCTAATTCTTACTTTTAATTGGATGGTCAAAATAAACTTATTAGCTTAAATTTTATTTGCATGATGTATATAGACCTAATGTATGAATGGAGCGCCAACGCCAACAAAATATATGAGAAGCATGCAATGATGAGTATGATGAGAATGTAGCAGCGATGATGATTAAGAGATGTGCGAGTATAGTGTGCATGATTAGTGATGTACGAGTTCTAAAAACTAATTATGAGTGTGCGCATCTTCTATGCATACATGTAATAAAAAACAATATGTTTATATTCTTACTGAACCTGTTGCTAATTTAATTCCACCATTGACTATTCAATTTTCATTAACCATAATTCTAAATTTACATTGTTAATTGTTATCATAAATTTTAGCAAATTCACTATAAAGTAAAACACATAAATACATTTTAAAAAGTGTACCTTAGGAAAATCCTTCTTAGAGTTCATTGAGGAGTACACAGTCGGGAAAACGCCATGTCCAGCGAAGCAGACGAAATAGAGGCTAAGGGCGGTGGGCAGCTCGCTCAGATTCAAGAGGCTGCTGCCCTCCATGTGGAAGCCCTTGCCGGCCACGCCGGCCCAGACCAGCGATGCCGTCAGCGCCACCGACGAGACGAGCCCAACCGCCGAGACGTACGCAAGCATGCTGAGGTTCTTGAGCCACGTTGTCGGAAGGATGACGGCGGCCGCCGCGAGCACGAACAGTTGCTTCCCGTGAACCTGGTACCCTAGGATCTCCACCACTATGCCAGGGAGGAGCTTGTCGAGGTTGTCGCCCTCGAGGATGAGGAAGCTGATGGCGACGAGGTAGAGCTCGACGTATATGACGAGGCCGATGGCCATCCGGCCGTAGCTGCCGAAGGCGAGGTAGCCGATGTCTGGGTAGCTCCGTACACAGCGGTCGACGCGCATGCACCGGTCAATTAGGTTGCCAGTGTAGAAGCAGATGGCGCCGACCATGGTGAAGAGTGTCAAGCTGAGCCACCCGCCCTGGGATAGCGCGTACGGCACAGAGAGCATCCCGATGCCGGATATGATGTTGCTAAGGTTTAGGCAGCTCCTCCCAAAGGAAGCGCCGGTCATACAAAATGAGCCGCCGCCGGTAGGGAGGAGGAGATGCTGCTCCATGTTGCTGCCGGTAGGGAGGAGGAGATGCTGCTCCATGTTGCTGCCGGTAGGGAGGAGGAGATGCTCCATGTCGTAATCCACCTCATCTCGTAGATCTTCTTGCCTATGGAGAAGAGCCTCATCGATAGGACTCTTATCCGCCGCCATAATCCCCGTGTCTGTGTGTGCACCTGTTAAACCAAAATCACCTGATAGATTTTTAATACTTACATGATACACATATGAAAATAGCGTGTATAACTTATCATACGTATCATAACATAGAATTCATTATTAATGATAACCTTATAGTTAAAAATAAAGTGCAACTTACATTTAGTGAAACAAAATAGAAATAAGAGAGATACTAGACAACTACTCATTACACCTAAAAATTTGCTAACAAAATTACAAACAAACAAGAAACATTTATTAGTAAATTAATACAAAAGGTGACAAAAAAATAATGAGATAACTAAAGTAGACGCACGTTGATTAAGCTAGACGCACGTTGATTAAGCTAGATTAGATGTTGTACTAAAAATATCAATGAGATGACTATCCCAAAACAGATGCGCTGACCAGACTGCGCTACACCTCGTCTCCCCCAAGAACATATGGATCTACCCGATCGATAAAGACTCAAACCGCAGTCGCCCACCGCGCTTTAGGCACAGGGAGGCAAGAACCACCGCTTTTAGTTTAGGAAAGAAGCCTACAATTCTCGTCTCGTTTCACTTTCGTGAAGGTCGTAACAAAACAAACAGAGAATGGTGAATCGGTAGTAAAGACGTGATCCTGACCAGTCTATATACATGTTAGAAAAGTGAATGAACACATATGGCAAAAATTAGCAAAAAAAACTAGCATACCGAGTACTTTGCACACAAAGATTGTATACAAAACAGTATTTTTAAAATCTTGTATACAAAACTACTTAAGTATTATATGCGAAGGAGAAAGGAAGTTTTCCTTCATTGGTTTTATTATAAAAAAAAACTATAGGTAGTTATGCGAAAAAGTTGTAACAGCTTAGGCCTAAGAAGGGTGTATCTAAAATTCTCACAAAATTGATGGCTATTTTGCAAAAAGGACAACTTTTAAATTCTGACGGAATGTGTGATAGGCTGATAGCGCCGCAGGAAATCGTTGGATCGTCCGATACATTTATCCAGCGCTAAAATAAGCGGCTGAAAGCAAGAAATTTTTCAGCCGGTAGACAGGTAGCACATCCTAACAAGAATTGAATTTATTCATGTAAAATCTTATGTATATTTTTACTTGAAAAGGACCATAAATAATATGCTTGTATTATAAAGCAACACATATGTTATTATTTTGTTCATCGTGTATTTCGCTACTATTATAAAAATTGAAGATATTTTTGTTAACAAATGTTGGACGTCATCGGTTTACTCCGTAATTATCTAATCCGCCGATCCACGGGGCAATAGGATTTGGATTTTTTTTTTCTTCCGTCGTCCGAACAGCAGGCATATGCCCGCGCAAAAAAATTCGCCCGCGTTCCACTCACGCTTTCCATTTCTATTTTACTTTCCACACGGGCCAACGCGATTGATTAAGCATGCACAGTACTGTCGCAGCCGAAGCCCTCGTGGTAGCCAACGATGCACGTTGACGGCATGCATGCAGCCTTGGTTTATGGCGCCCTTGTAGAACGTGAACTCCCGCGCGCATGCCGGCCGCAGGCGGCACACGTCGATGTACGCCTAATTAATTTGATCAGAGTATTACATAATTTGTAACAAGGCCTCGTTAGGCCTTGTTTAGTTCTCAAAACTTTTTCTTAAAAAACATCACATCGAATCTTTAGACACATACATAGAAAATTAAATATAGATTAAAAAAATTAATTGTACAGTTTGTATGGAAATCGCGAGATGAATCTTTTGAGCCTAATTAGTCTATGATTAGCCATAGTGCTACAATAACCACATGTGCTAATGACAGATTAATTAGGCTTAATAAACTCGTTTCGCAATTTCTAGCCGAGTGATGAAATTAGTTTTTTCATTCGTATCCGAAAATCCCTTTCCGACGTCCGGTCAAACGTCCGATCTGATACCTAAAATTTTTCTTTTCACGAAGTAAACCCACCCTAACCAATGTGATTTTGTGACGGCCTAATTGTATCAATAATCAAGTAGTAATAGCAGAAATTAGCTTCTACCTGAAGAAGAAGAGCGATTAGGTGAATGAGGACAAAATTGACAGCGAGAGTGTCTTAGGGAGAAGCTAATCCTATCTTACTATAAAATTATAACCCCCACTAATTCTAAAACTCAACATGCAAATATACCACCTCATCATTCACTAGCAATAATTAAATAGAAAACTTATGCAAGCATGCAACATCATCTACAATTCATTTAATTCTACGAAACAACATCCAATCATCTTCCTTCACATTATTATTCACAATATTTTTAACACACATATATATTCATTATTTTTATAATATTTAACATATACTCATCCATATAATCAAGAGAAAATCCATGAAATACCATTAACAAACACCCTAATCCCAGAAATGCCATCGACAAACACAACTTCCTGAAAATGCCATCGTACAAGCATATTTCTCCCAGAAATTCCATCACAGCCAAACTATTGTTAACTCCTCTCCGTTAAGTTGTATGAAAAGGCAATCTTATCTCTGGGCAAACATTTGCTCACACATCATTTTGTATTGTTTGCTCATACAACATTATTTTGCATTGATGCATATTTAAATTCAGACATAATTATTTTGCTATCAATCAAATTATTTCAAAATTAAATTCACAAAATTTGGCATCAAAATTATTTCAGAAATTTTGCTATCAATTATCAGGGTTGTAATATGAGCAAAAATAGGGTTATATATAATCTTTTCTTATTATAAAGTTATAACCCACTAGATCCCAAAGCTCAACATGCAAAGATGCCACATCATCATCCACTAACAATTATTGCATTTAAACATCATGCAAACATGTTATATTATCTATAATTTTATAATTTATTACATTTTAGAGTTTTAAAATGTAAGCATGTTAAATCATCATCCCACATAATTCACATAATATTTCAATATATATCTTCATCATTTTTTATAATATCGTATATACCTATATGATTCATCCTCACTTAGTTAGTATTATTTTTCTCTTCTCCCATTAAATCATATCATATCAATTGTTTTTTTTGCCTTACACGATTAATCTACGGTCCAAAGTATCTCACTCCCTTTCTTCTCTCATAAAGCCACATCATCTTACTTTTACATTTGAATCATTATTATATATATCTATTTAAATTTAAATTATCATAAACCATATCAACTTATGTAAGTTTATATTGTTTAGCTATTTTACACATTATTTTTACTTATTGTTATTATACTGAACTCCCGCAGCAACGCACGGGGTTTTACCTAGTATAACTAATGAACTGGCCATGACGATTCAACAAATACTTCCTCCGTCTAACAAAAACCTCCTAGAACAACATACATCAATCTAGGAGGGGTCACATCCACTTCTAGGTTGAGTTTTTTTTTGATGAAGGGAGTACTTATTTTTCTTTCAATTCTATAAAACTCTAAATGATACGGCTGGTTTAACAAATATATTTTCCTGGAATGTTATTTACCATCATGGCCACTCTAATGCACAATATCAAACATATAAGGTTTCATAAAAAAATATATAATGTTATTTAGATAATATCCTGAAGATATAATTAAATCGTTGTCATCCATTTATTATTGTATTTTTTTATCCGTTGCAACGCACGGGCACTATTCTAGTTTTAAACCTAAATTTTAAAACCCATTAAATAATAATATAATAGGCTATAAATATTGAGCGCGCCAACGGGCGCATCGATTTTCTAGTCCCATCCAAGCAAGGAAATTACGAAGGAAGCATGTATAGAAAGATATAGCAGAACATGCAGGGTAACTAGCCTAATAACAAAAATTGGGAAAAAAGAGAAGAAATTATAGGAACGTAGCTAATTTCTCACCTCTCCCACCAATTTGTAGATCGATGTCGGCCGCGGCGTGCGCACCGCCTACACCGCTGCCGCACGCCCGGAGGAGATATACCGGTGGAGACGCGCGTGACAACGATGATGTGACGAGCTGTGGACGAGAGCTCTCACCGGCCGGGGTTATGGAAGAAGGTTAAAAGAAAATAGCGAGAGAGGATTAGATCTATATATGGAAGAAGGTTAAAAGAAAAAAAAAGGAAAGGTAGGGTTAGGAAGCGCGCGTGCGGGGAGGAGACGCCGTTGCACGGGAAGAAAGTTAAGAGGATATATATACGAGTTCCGTTCCAAACTTCCGATCAGGTAGTTGGAAGTTAATTTGGAAGTTGTTTTCGGATTAATTAATAATTTAAAAGTCAATTAACAATCCAACTCCGGCACGAACTGGGCTTCGATCAGCCTTACATATGTTTAGCCTATATATGTGCGTGTGTACGTCCGGTGCATGCGCCACCGTGACGTCTGCATCTCGCCGGTGTAGCTAGGTTAAACATGGCCATGGCCGGCGGCGGCGGCAATTCGCTGCCTTCGCCGTCGTGCGGCGACGACAAGAAGCGGCGGGTGTGCTACTACTACGACCCGGGGATCTCCACCGTCGACTACGGCGAGGGCCACGTCATGGTGCCGCACCGCGTCACCATGGCGCACAACCTCGTCGCCGCCTACGGCATGCTCGGCGACATGCGCCGCCTCCGCACGGCGCCCGCCACGGCGGCGGAGCTCGCCGACTTCCACGACGAGGGCTACCTCGCCCTCCTCCAGGACCTCACCCCGGACGGCTGCGGAGGCGACGACGGGGTCGGCGACATGGCGCGCGCCAGGGGCATCTACGCCGTCGAGGGCAAGGGCGGCGGCCGCGGCGTCGACAACCCGGTGTTCGACCGCCTCTGGGATTACTGCCTCCGCTACTCCGGCGGGTCGCTCGCCGCGGCGCGCACCCTCGGGAGCGGCACCGCCGACATCGCCATCAACTGGTCGGGCGGGATGCACCACGCGTGCCGCGGCGGCGCGAGGGGCTTCTGCTACGTGAACGACATCGTGCTCGCCATCCGCGAGCTGCTCGCCCACTTCCGCCGCGTGCTCTACGTGGACATCGACGTCCACCACGGCGACGGCGTCCAGGCCGCCTTCGAGGCGTCGAACCGGGTGATGACGGTGTCGTTCCACCAGCACGGCGGCGGCTTCTTCCCGGGCTCCGGCGCCGTCGCCGACGTCGGCAAGAAGGGCCCCGGCCGCTACTGCGCGCTGAACGTGCCGGTGAGCGTGGGCATCGGCGACGAGGAGTACCACCGGCTGTTCGAGCCGATCATGGCGAGGGTGATGGAGGTGTTCCAGCCGGAGGCCGTCGTGCTGCAGTGCGGCGCCGACTCCCTCGCCGGCGACCGGCTCGGCGAGCTGAACCTGACCACGCGCGGCCACGCCCAGTGCGTCAGCTTCATCCGCAGCTTCAACCTGCCGCTCCTCCTCCTCGGCGGCGGCGGCTACACCATCAACCACGTCGCCTCCTGCTGGTGCAATGAGGTAACTAAATTTTACAAAACTCACTCAATTTAATTTCTGCCAAACTCACTCTCAACTGTTTGTACGAGAAATTAACTATTTTGATACCTCGTCCCTCATTTGTTTAAAACCCTTTCAAATAGTTTAGTTTATGATTTTTTATTAAAAAAACGTAGCAATATTCATATATACAACATATATACATATCCCACTCCAAAAGGAAAAAACTTAGGTACAAAATCAAATCACACATTGAGATATAAAAAAAAGGGACTAATTTATTGTATGAATACTATTCGCACCCGAATTTATCATTTGTTAATCAAAGCTTAAGTCGAATTTCAACTTGATTTTTAGAGTGATAGATGCTATTATACTCAACACGGTCAATTTCTTTCAGAATTTCTTACAACCATATGTATTGAATTTGGAAGTAAAAGCTACACGATGAGTTATCCACTCGAGATATTAGAATTTTATTTTTTTATGTTTCTTACGAAATTTATCCAAATTTGATGGCAATGCTGATCCCGCGTTGTGATGAATTTCTGTGGATGGATGCAGACGGCGGTGGCCATCGGCAAGGAGATCCCCAACGACATACCCAAGCATGGTTTCGACGTGTTCTACAAGAACCAGGAGTACAAGCTCCACTACAAGTTGGAGACGAAGCACCTGCACCGCAACCGCAACACGGCGAACTCCATAGACGGCATCAGGATGGCGGCCATGGAGAACCTCTCCAAACTGAAGCTGGAGGCGGCGGCGAGCGTGCAGTTCGAGGAGCGCCGCCACCGGAGCATCAACGTCGGCGACCTCTACTACGACCCACGCGAGCAGGAAGAGGAAGAGGAGAGCCCCACGGCGAGGCTGCACCGGAAGCTCTACTTCGAGCCCACCGGAGATCAGGAGAGCCCCTACACTAAGCACAGGTGCAACGTGCAGCCAGGGGAGTCGAGTAGTAGAAAGCAGCGTAAGCTAAAGTGATCATGAAGATCAATTGGCCCTCTTTGAAAGAGCTGTACAAGAACATATAAAATTGTTCAAATTTTGATGGAACCTAGTAGTAATGTAACATAACAGAAGGCTGATGTGGAAATCGTTTCGAAAATCAATTGTGTAGTGTATGAGGAGTGCAGAGAGATTTCTTTTTTATCAAAAAGGACGTGTTCCATTCGAACTGACCCACGTCATGTCGGAAAAAATTACAAATAATAGCTAGGCTATAAATAAATAGCACATCCATCCCATATTTACAGTTCATAGGGGGTGTTTAGATCCATGGGTATAAAGCTTTGGCACGTCACATCGGATATTATATAGGGTATTGCATGAGTTGTTTGGGCACTAATAAAAAAACTAATTATAGAAGCCGTTCGTACACTAGTAGAAAAAAACTAATTATAGAAGCCGTTAGTACACTAGTAGAGAAACAATTTTTTCCGTGCGGTCAAACGTCAACCGTCTGGAACATGAGATTATGGCGGCGGATAAGAGCCCTATCGACGAGGCTCCCTTCTATGGTAAACATGAGCAAGAAGATCTAGGGACGATCGCGTACAGCGCACGTGCTCCCTCCAGCGTAAGGAACATGCTCCCTCAAGCGTAAGGATGCTCTCCGTGCTGTACGCGCTATCTCAGGGCATGTGGCTCTCCATGCTGGTATCGCAGGGCAGGTGGCTTCACCAAGCCATCTGCTTCTACACCGGCAACCTCATGGACCGCTGCATGCGCGTCGATCGCTGATCTACCCTCGCAGGGCAGGTGGCTTAGCCTGGCGCTCTTCACCAAGCTATATGCTTCTACACCATCAACCTCATGGACCGCTGCATGCGCGTCGATCGCTGAGCTACTGGACATCGGCCACCTCACCTTCAGCGGCTATGGCCTGACGGCCATCGGCCTCATCATGTACGTCGAGCTCTAGCTTGTCGCCATCAGCTTCGTCATCCTCTTGGGCGACAACCTCGACAAGCTCCTCCCCGGCACGGTGGTGGAGATCCTAGGGTACCAGGTGCATGGGAAGCAGCTATTCGTGCTCGCGGCGGCCACTGTCATCCTCCCGACGACGTGGCTCAAGAACCTCAGCGTGCTTGCCTATCTCGGCGGTCGGGCTGGCCTTGTCGGTTGCGCTGAGCGGGTTGCCCACTGCCCTCAGCCTCTACTTCGTCTGCTTCGCCGGCTATGGCGTCTTCCCGACCGTTTACTGCTCAATGAAGTCTAAGAAGGATTTTCCTATACACTTTTAAAATGTATTTATGTGTTGTACTTGATAGTAAGTTTGCTAAAATTTGTGATAACAATTAAGAATGTAAATTTAGAATTATGGTTAATGAAAATTTAAAAGTCAATGGTGGTATTAAATTAGCAACAGGTTTAGCAAGAATACAAACAAATTGTTTCTTTGTTACATGTATGCATGGAAGACGCGCACACTCATAATTCCTATACACTTTTAAAATGTATTTATGTGTTGTACTTGATAGTAAGTTTGCTACAATTTGTGATAACAATTAACAATGTAAATTTAGAATTATGGTTAATGAAAATTTAAAAGTCAATGGTGGTATTAAATTAGCACCAGGTTTAGTAAGAATACAAACAAATTACTTTTTTATTACATGTATGCATGGAAGACGCGCACACTCATAATTATTTTTAGAACTCGTACATCACTAATCATGCACACCTCTTAATCATCATCGCTGCTATGTTCTCATCATACTCAGCATTGCATGGCTCTCATATACTTTGTTGGCGCTCCCATCATATAGCAGGTCTACATATACATCATGTAGATAAAATTCGAGCTAATAAGTTTATTTTGGTCGTCTAATAAGAATTAGGATCATACGAAATCAACATTAAAATCATTTATTAAAATAAGTTGTACTATCGCTAAAAAATGATGTTGTACTACTTATAAATTTTGTAATGTTAATTTCAGATATATGGAATGGCAAGTGCAATATTCACAATTTAGCATTAATATATTTTTTTGCATAATGATGTAAATTTAGGGTAATGTCGCGTTAGCCTTTCGACTAGTTTGACGTGTGCGGTGATGTGGAGGCGTACTGTGCTACAATACAACCTATCACACCAGTGGAATAAACTGGTAACTAGCGTGGAGGCGTACTATGCTATATTAAAGCCTATTACCCCAGCGGAATAAACTGGTGAATGGTAGCGATTAGGGCTGCCTCTCAAGTTGGGATTTGGTTACCTCTCATCCACCCAGGTAAAAGCAATGTAGCTTAAAGATAAAGCTAATCAAGAGCCGCCTAATACGGTTTAATTTATATGCTAAAACCTAAAGTTGGAAGATGCGTCTAGCACTTAAAATGAAATAATTATATTAGCCATTTGAATACATAGTTTATGAAAAAAATTTTAAGTAATTTAATGCGTAGTCCAATACAATTTTAGATAAATTAAAAGGTAGCGTATCTAAATTTGGAAGATCTGTTGCATCATAAAATTTTTAATGCCGAGTTAAAAGATAGATCTATTGTGTTGTGTTGTATATATTCTTGTACTAAGTTTTGACTCAGCCAACAGCTATGAGAATTGTTAGGTATAAGATGCAAAAGTGGTAGGGCATTGACTATTGCACAATTAACTCATGGAAGTTTCTTGAACAATCTTGGACCTTTTACCATTCTTTTGCTGATACTTATCCAGGATCTAACAGTGGATATTATATCAACCGTTGCATTCAATGGTACATATCTTCAGATGATGTAGCTCAATGATGTTGCATTTTAAGTTTTACCTTTCACTTAGAGAGATTTGGCAACCAATTGATAATTGATCATTGGATTATCAGTTCCAGTTATCATAATTTGGTTTATGAAACCATGACGATGATGATAATGGAACAGTACTCCAATAATGTTCTATTCCTCTCCAATAATGTTCTATTCCTCTCCAATTAATGTGCAGGTTTTGCTAATCTCTTCGGTGATGTGCAGTCTCAACTCTACAGTGACAACAGTGTTGGGATATCTGAGCTATGGTGAGGATGTGCAGGTGAAGGTGACACTGAACTTACCCACGGGGAAGCTGTACACCAAGATCGCCATCTTGACGACACTGATCACCCCGCTGGCGAAGTACGCGCTCGTGATCCAGCCCATCACAATGGCGATAGAGGACAAGCTGTCGGCAATGATGGCGGCGGTGGCTGACAATAGGAACAACGGGCTAACCAGGGTGCTCACCAGCAGCCGTCGTTGTCAACATGACGGTGCTGGCGTGCACTTTGCCCTTCTTCGGCTACCTCATGTTGTTCATCGGGTTCTCACTGAACGTCGTCGTTGCCATGTTGTTCCCGTGCCTGAGCTACCTCAAGATCTACATGCCCCGAGGAAGAGTTGTCCGCTTCGAGGTGGCGGCGATTGTTGGGATACTGGTCATTGGAGTGTGCGTCACCATCGTTGGCACCTACACTTCCCTTCACCAGATTATCGGCACATTTTGATCGGGCATTTGTGGGTATGGTGGTAGGTTTTGGTAGTAATTAAATAGGTTTCAAATTCTATTTTTCCTGAAAAAACAACATATATGCTACACAGAGTGTTAAGAATCAACTGAGCAGCTATATATTGCATGTGTACTCTCCTGGAATGCATGTGTATTATCACTAAGTTTCATAACTTTCATTGCCTTCTTGTTGACTAATTATCGCAGCTAAAATTTAAGTTTTGAAATTAGTTCAGTTTTAATATATTCTGAAGTTTTTCCATCATAATTTATCTTCTTCTACCCTTAGTTTTAAATCACTAGTAACACGCATAAAAGTTGGGATTTGCTATATGTGTGTCTACAATTTTTTTTTTTTGGTTTTATCTATGGTTTGTTTTGTTCAGGGCTTATTAGCCTAGAACTGAATCTTGTCGATTCTGAAAGTATGGTGAAATATGGTGCAAATGGCCATGCATTTTATGAGATTATTTTTTTATGAGAGATCGGTAGAATATATTCCCTCAGTTTTTTAATAGATGACGCCATTGACTTTTAAATGAGTGTTTCACCATTCACTTCATCCAAAACTTTTATGCAAATATATAATATATAAATGATATTCTTAAAGTCAAGCGTAATGAGGTGGAGAGTTCTTATCATTGGACTTGTGGGTATGTGACTCTTTGTTTTTTTTTTTTGATGGCATGCTAACCTTGGATGTCTTTGCTTCTGTTTTTTCACTGAATAGTTTCTCTATATGTCTTGTTGCTGCAGGCACCCAACATCACTTCATGACCATGGTAGGGATAGTGATGATGATGATTTCCGAGACAGGGATTATGATGTGGCAGCTCTTGCTAATAACTTGAGCCAGGCATTCCGATATGTGATATATAACAATGATGATATGGAAGAGGTGTATGTGTGAATGATTTTGTTTCTATTGCTTTGATGGTTTGCATCAGTCAACATGTTTCTCTGCCAGCACATTTTGTTAGGTTTAATTTGAGAGGATTCTATGGTGGATAAAATATCATCCTGTTACCCATGCTATTACATTATCTACTTGAACGACTCACCAGGTCTAACCATGTTCCGGATTTGTAGTTCCTTACAGCCTTAGTGTGCTAGATACTAATGATACATGATTGTTTCTTGAGTGCAGAATCAAGGGACACTTGAACGGGATGATGAGGTATATTTAAGGATGCTAGTTTACCCCTATTTAATGCTTTTTTTTTGTTCTTTTCACCTGTTTTTTAGTTCAATTTAATTAAAATTTTTAGTACAGTTCCTAAACGTTTGTTTCAATCAACCATGTAAAAAGAATGGAATGTTGCATGCGGATAATAGTGTCTAGAACCATATTTGTTGAAATTGTACTTCTCACTGAGTGGATTTCCATTGTTTTCTCCTTTTAGGATGTCTATTTTGATGATGAATCAGCAGAGGTCGTAATATGTTCTCTGCGACTGGGAGATGACCTTAAAACTTACTTTGGTATCCTCTTTTTTTTTTTGCCCTTGGGCTAATTATGCGTTTATGTATTTAAAAGCAGATATGTGCTAACCTTTGGTATCCTATTTTCAGCAAGAAATACATATACCAATATGAATTCATTCTAGGTTTAACTAGATGCACACAATTCGTGAGAGCACTTTTCTAAAGTATATATGCTAACCTTTATCATATGCTTAAGACATAGTAATACTAATATTGGTTTATTTATTTATTAATAATTGAAAATTACATATATACTCGTAGTATGTGCTAAGAATTACTCGTATAAATTTAAATTCACTACTTAATTTTAAAATTGTTTTGTCTATTTTTATTACTTATAGGTACTTTTTTGATAAAACAGATAAAGTTAAATACTACTCAGGATTTCAGCGCATGCCATATATTTAAAACCTATTAAGAGGTCAGTGTAATGTATAGTGACGTTCAGTTCCTTTTACATAGCTAATTTGTGCCACGTCGAGTGGTGTTGAGATGTTTTAGTTTAGTGTCATCAGGGTTGGCGCTGAGGTCACGGTCTATTTTTTTAAGTAGTTTTTGACATGGTTTATTTTTAAAGTTTTTATAGAAGGATTAATGTGTCAAAACTACGGCGTAAACAGAAGTAGCCAAATCAATGCGTACAATGATAGACCAATATTTTCCTCTTTTCTTTCTTCCTACCTAGTCCATTCAATCGTGCATGCATGGCACCTGGCCCATGATATTGCATGAGGCATGCGCAACCGTGTATAGGCGGGGTGTATAGGCAGCGTCATACACGCATCAAAAAAGCATTGTGCCACCTGGACCAATAGGCAGTTGGCAGAACAACCAGCATGAGAATAATAGATAGATTATTATTTTGTTTGCTCCCTCAGTCCAGCAGTATGCTACCCATATGTTAGAGGGATTACTAATTCAGAGCACCTATATTTATGCTACCATATTTTTTATGAAAAAATAGTCAACATGTATTTACATTGTAAGTCTGTAAATTAAATATGTAATTTTAGTGTATTTACAATGTAAGTCCCAAAATTACATATGTAATTTTTGTTTTTTTAAATGTAATTTAACTTTGCAACCGATTGTGGACATAATGGTGAACCGTGGACACAATATAAGAGAAGAAAAAGCGAATTTATTATCAATTGTACGAGTCCACGAAGTGCAAATGAGCACATAAGAGTTGAAGCTTGATCAGGTGTCCCAGTTAGTTACGCTTTCGGATAGCTTTGATCTGACAAAAAAAATCTAATTGTAATCAGCCCCCAAATATGTTGCCACACATGTAGCAAAACTGTATTAATTTTGTTGACACATATGAATGAACAGCTAATAAGCATACTGTAATAGTGTCAATCGGTTAATTAATTAGCATGCTAGCTTCAGTGGTGCAAATATTAGTTGTTTTCTCACGGTTTCCACAAATTTCCGATGTTGTTCTTGTTCCTTTTTCTTTGGCTAAAATTAAAAGTTCCAGAAAAAGCTGTCTATGCTAATTTTGATCAGAAGTCAAAAAATGCCATCATTTTTACCAACGGACCAGATTACTAGATGGATATCCCAGTAACTTCCAAAGGCTCTACGGTTTGAGATAATTCAATATGCAACTTCTTCCCAAGGGCCGCTCTACTATTTGAAAATAATTCAACACGAACTTCCCAATGGCACTATGGTTTTTAGATAATTCATTAAATTGATAACTGCATTCTATAGTTTGATTTGCGTACACGTAATCCTCAAGATATCTCTACGTACAAATCTCACATATCCTGCCCATTCAAAATTAGATCTCATCTCAACTCTCAATTAATAATCGATTAAGCTAAAAATATCTCGACAAATTTTTCCGTTAAGATTTGTCAAATTTTCAGCCGTTACTCTAACCTTGAGATCCGTGACCTCTTGGTGTCAGCACTCCCACGAAACGCTTAACTCGCAAGTGTTGGACTACCTGGTATTGTACATCCATGCATACAGCTGATTATCTTTCTCGCTCACTAATTAAATAGTTAAAAGTTGTTGTTAAACATCTAGTGTACTGTTTCGTCAACTTCACTTTGCCCAAAAGCGTACAGGGGATGAAAGCCTGGTAATGATGAGAGAGAGAGAGAGGAGGTAAGTTGTGGAAAAAATTACAGAGTAAATATAGTGCTTTTAGAGTATAATTTGTTGTACTTACATTGTGACTCGTTGTAAATTACATTGTAATTTTTGTTAAATTTGTATGTAATTTATTTTTTTCTATTTTTCACTAAGTGTAAGTTACACTTTATTTTAATTATAATGTTATCTTTAAATTACATACAAATCTAATAGAAATCACATTGTAATTTGCAACGAGTCACAATGTAATTACAACAACTTACACTCTAAAAGCACTATATTTACTCTGTAATTTTTTCCACAACTTACCTCCTCTCTCACTCTCTCTCTCTCTCTCTTGTCATTACCAAGCTTTCATCCCCTGTACGCTTTTGGGTAAAGTGAATTTGACAATACACTAGGCAATTAACAACAACTTTGAACTATTTAATTAGTGAGCGACAAAGATAATCAGTCGTATGCATGGATGTACAGTACCACCAGGTAGTCGAACACTCGCGAGTTATGTTTCATGGGAGCACTGACACAAAGAGGGCACGGATCTCAAGGTTAGATTAACGGCTGAAAATTCGACAAATCTTAACAAAAGAATTTGTCGACGGATTTTTAGCATAGTCGATTATTATTGAGAGTTGAGATGAGATCTAATTGTGAATGGGGATGATAGATTAGTTATACGTGGAGATACCTTGAGGATTACGCATACGCAAATCAAATTACAAAATGCAATTATCAATTCAATGTATTATCTAAAAACCATAGCGGCCTTGGGATGTTCATGTTGAATTATTTCCAAATAGTAGAGCAACCCTTAGGAAGAAGTTGCATATTAAATTATCTCAAACCATAGAGCGTTTAGAAGTTATTGGGATATCCATCTAGTAATCTGGTCCCTTGGCAAAAAAGATGAAATTTTTTGACTACTGATAAAAAATAGCATGACACAGCTTTTTCTGAAACTTTTAATTTTAGCCAAAGAAAAAGGCACAAGATCATCATCAGGAATTTGTAGAATCCATGAGAGAACAACTAATATTGGCACCCCTGAAGCTATCAAGCTAATTAATTAACCGATTTACACGGTTACAGTTTGCTTATTAGCTATTTGTAAATATATTATTTACATCGCTCATTGAGGACTATCTATAGCTCAGGCGCCACAAAATTGAGCCTATAATAGTTGGTTCAATTTTAGACTAGATTACAGCCATTTAAAAATAAGTAAGTCGATTAAAATACACAACATAAATTAAATTTCATCTAGAAAACTAGTGATCACAAAATTACAGTTTAATAAATTAGGAATTACATAATAATTAAAATGCAAGCACAATATAAATATAATTATCATGTAAGTCCAGCTTAAGTACTATTTAAGTGTGCAAGTGTAGTGTAAGTACAATGTAAGTGTAGTTTAAATATAGTGTAATTATCATATAAGTGTACTGTAAAGTGTGTATAGTATAAGTACAATATAACTATATAGTTATAGTGTTGAACATTATATGCACATCGTAACTTCTCAACTTTTCATTCTCTTTTGTTCTCTATTTTCTTATGTTCATCAATATGTAGCCTTGGCTAATGTTTGCTACTACTAGGTAATGTGCTGGAAGATGAGCAACATTAGCTCGGGTAAGGAGAAAGCAAAGCACATATTTAATGACTCATGTTTGGATTTGCTTCTCTTCATGCAAAAGTGTGTGGGCAAATTGAGATAAAAAAATATTAGTTCAAACCTTAATTAATTACCTAGGTAGATTATCGTTGTTTTGTTTGACAATAACTGCTTCTTCTAGTGACTGCGTTGTTTAACGACACTATACCAAGTCAGTAGCCCTCGTACGCATGCACAAAACTTACATAAATCTAACTATCTAAAATTTGGCTGTGATTTCATAAAAAATGTGTCACCACAATTATAGCAAAACCGATTAATAATTCTTCTAATGTGTGGGTAGCATACTGCTACTGACAGCGCAAACAAAATAATAATCCCATCCAAATAAGAGGAGCATGATTTATATCTTATACATTTGCATAAATGTTCTGGATAAAACGAATGGTCAAACACTTATTTAAAAGTCAACGACGTCATCTATTAAAAAATGAAGGGAATATATTCTACCGATCTCTCGTAAAAAAATAATCTCATAAAATGCATGGACATTTGCGTCATATTTCACCATACTTTCAGAACCGATAAGATTTAGTTCTAGGCTAATAAGCCTTGAACAAAACAAACCAAAAATAATTTATAGATAAAACCAAAAAAAATTGTAGACAGATATATAGCAAATCCCAACTTTTACATGTATTACTAGTGATTTAAAACTAAGGGTAGAAAAAGATAAACAATGATGGAAAAATTTGAGAATAACTGAAAACTTTACTAATCTCAAAATTTAATTTTTAGCTGCGATAGTTAGTCAACAAGAAGACAATGAAAGTTATGAAACTTCCTTAGTGATAATACACAAATGCATTCCAGGAGTACTCATGCAATATATAGCCACTCAGTTGATTCTTAACACTCTGTATAACATATCTGTTGTTTTTTCAGGAAAAAAAAGTAAAAAAAGAATTTGAAACATATTTAATCACTACCAAAACCTACAACCTTACCCACAAATGCACAATCAAACTGTGCATATAATCTGGTGAAGGGAGGTGTAGGTGCCAACGAAGGCGATGCATACTCCGATGACTAGTATTCCGACGATCGCCGCCACCTCGAAGCGGCCAACTCCAAATCGAGGCATGTAGATCTTGAGGTAGCTCAGGCATGGGAACAACACGACAATGGTGAAGTTCAGCGAAGATACGTTGAACGGCATGAGGTAGCTGAAG